ATACAGTATAGTACAGTACGGCATGGCAAGGTCATTTCAACAAGGTAATTAACTTCCCAGGTAATCAGTACACTATCAGCCTGTCGAGCACGTAACGTCACTGTCGTACACGCAGCAAAAACACATCGGGGTCTTTGCTTTTTTGTCCCCGTCTGTGTGTTGGGCGAGCGTGTTGGGGAAGGGGAAGGGGAAGGAGGGGAAAACCGGCAATGCAACGCAGAGCAACAAAAATGCCTTGCCTAAGCCCGTGTCCGCGTGATTTTCGGTAAAAAGTAAGACGACCATTTGATGTACAGCTGCCATGCATGGTGACCATGCAGCATGGCGGTTTGGATGCGAAGAAGGAAAGGGCACAAGCACGAAGTCAAACCCCCCTTGTTCGTCTCCCCCCCTTTCCCCCCCCCCTCCCCCCCTCCTCAGGACGTCAACGGCCCGGGCGAGAGGAGGACCTCAGCGGGGGACCGAAGCCCCAAGCGCGCGGAGCGACCTAGAGCTACTTCTCCACCCCACCTCCGTCCCTTCGGCCCGCATCATACACCCACCACCACCACCAACAACAACAACAACAACCAGTCCCCGCCCTGACTCGCGCCAAAACTAGCGCCAAAAAGGGAACCCAGGAACAAACTAGCAACAAAAAGGGAACCCCCCCCACCAGCCCCCAACCCCGGGGGGCTGCTCCCCTCCTCTCACACCATCACAATCCGCCCACCACAGCCCTATCAGCCGCAACAACAACAGCAGACAGCCTAAGGGCCCCCAAAACCCCTTACACCCGCCGCGGACGTCCGCAGCAGGGGCCACCCGGGATCCGTTCCCCGGCGGGTGCTTGTGGTGATGGCGGTGGTGGTGGTGGTGGTGATGGTGGAGGTGATGGTAGCGGAGGTGGCGGGTGGGTAACCGTTCAGGAGTCAGAAGTTGGAGGTGGCTGCCGCGGCCGAGTCCACCGCCGTCAGCAGATGCGCGAGCTCCTCGCTGAGCCCGCGGAGCAGTACGGGGTCGGCTGCCAGCTGCTGCAGCGCCGCCGCCTGCGGGTGCTGCTGTTGGTGGTGCTGTTGGTGGTGCTGGTGCTGTTGGTGCTGCTGGTGCTGTTGGTGGTGCTGCTGGTGCTGCTGCTGGTGGTTGTTGTGCTGGTATAGGGCCGTCATCTGTGGCTCGGCGGGCGTGGGGGAAAGAGAGAGAGAGAGTGCGTGTGTGTGTATGTGGGGGTGGACGCGCCCGGGACGGAAATTCCATGCCGCAAAGTCAACTCAAGTCAAGTCAGTTCAGGTAAGAAGGGAAAACAACGGCCGTGGGTGTGTGGATGTGGGGATCTAGGTCTCACAAATACACACACGCACACACACAGGCGCACATCGGGGTCGAGGCGTAATTGGGTGGCGGGGGGGGGGAGGAAAGAGAGGAAGACGAACCACAGACAAGTTATGCTGCTACCAGCATACACCCCCCTGGAGGGCAGGGGAAGGGGGCCGCAGGAGCTGGGGACAGAGGCAAGCGGGAGAGGGAGAGGGGGAAACGGCGAAGGACCACCGGGCGAGAAGGCAAGCAGGGCCGTCCTGGGGGCCACACACACACACACACACACACCCCACCCCGCCCCGCCCCGAGGTGGGGTGAGGTGAGGTGACGAGGGGGTGCAAAGCCTCCCCACTGCATTGCCCAACCCAGCCCAACACAGCGAGGGGCGACCTCACCTGCAGCCCGACACGGCCGCCCACTCCGGAGCCGCCCATTAGGTTGCACAAGTCCAGCGCTCCCGCACCGCCACCACCACCACCACCACCACCACCGCCACCACCACCACCACCACCTGCCGCCAGCAGCGGCTGCAGCAACCGCAATTCGGCAGGTGAGCGTCCGGGAGCCAGGCCGCCGCCGCCAAGCCCTGCGGCAGTACTGAGAAGCCGCAAGCGGTCGATGTCCAAGGCGCCGCCGCCACCGCCGCCGCCAGCTAGCAATAGATTCCCGGGGGGGTTCCCAAGCCCCACCAAGCCGCCGCCGCCACCGGCCCCGAGGGCGCTGGCACCGCCGATACCGCCGCCGTGCAGCGGCCTCGCCAGCTGCCGTAGCAAAGCTGCTGCCGTTGCATCAGCACCCATGTTGTTACCGCCCTCACCACTGCCACTAAGCGCTCCTAAAGCATCCGCTAATCCAACCTGTCCAAAGCCGGTGGCCGCGCCGCCGCCGTCGCCGCCGTCACGCCGGTTGCCATTTGGAAACGAGGGAACGGTCAGGGCCGACGGCACGGGGAGGTGGTTTCCTTGGGAAGCGCCGCCTGCGCCGCCGCCCAAACGCAACCCTCCGACGCCGCCGACCCCAAGATCCGCAGCCGCACTGTGCCCGACGCTGCCATGCGCCTGGTGCTGAAGCTGTTGCTGCTGCTGCTGTCGTTGCTGCTGCTGAGTCGATCCGTTAAGCTCTTCCAGCACGTCGTACAGCTGCTGGACTTTCAACGCGGCGACGGCAGCGGCGGCAGCACTGCCACCGCCGATGGCGGCTGCCAGATGCGCAGTCCCGTTGGCGGGTCCCAGGCTGGCACCGCCGCTGCCCCCGCTGCCGCCGTCCTCGCCCCCTCTCCCCGCCCTTCCCCCCCCTACAGACCCCAGCTCGTTCACCCGCGCGCCTGATGCTCCTCGCTGCCTCCCCATGCCGCTGTGCAGCGGCAACGATCCATGAAGGTCCTGGAAGGCAGAAGAATGCTGCTGCTGCTGCTGCTGTACCGGCAGCGGCGGCGGCGGCGGCAGCTCCCTCTCCCGCAACCTCTGCCCGGTGCTGACGCCGCCGACACCGACACCACCGCCGCCGCAGACTTCATTGGCGGCGACTGTCGCGCTTGGCCCGCGGTCTCGGTCTCGCTCCCGGCCTAACAGCACGGTCGGCCCCGCAAGACGCGCCAGCTCTATGAGGCACAGCCGGGTAGCCTCCGGCAAGGCATTAAATAGCTCCAAGTCAGCCGGCAAAGTGCCGTACGCACCCACGCCCGCGCCGGTGCCCAGGCCGTTGGCGCTGCCGCCGCTGCCAGGCCGTAAAGCAGGCGGCAGAGGCAGCACTGTGTTGCTGCTGGTGCTGCTTGGCGGGTTATTGCTGCTGGTGTTGGCGGCCGCGGCGGCGGCGGCGGCGGCTGCCGGGGTTACGTGGATGCCGTTACCAAATGCAGCCGGTGCGCCGGCGCCGCCGCCGCCAGTGATAGTGGCGATAGGCGCGCTGTTGTTGCTAATGTTGTTGCTGTTGATGATGCCTCCCGACAGCGGCAGCAGGGGCCCCAGCGACCCGAGAGCAGGTAGCCCGACGGAACCGGGGAGCGGAGGAGGAGGAGCCGCGGCTGCGACATCATAGCTACTGCCGCCGCCGCCGCTGCCACCAGCAGCAGCAGCAGAAGCGCTGCCAGCGTTGAGTCCCCCAAGCGCGGCGGCCGGAGGCAGCAAGTCCGTTACTTGCAGCTGCCGGCTGCCGCCGCTGGGCGCCAGCGGCGGCAGTGACCCTGCGGCCGCCGCAGCAGCAGCCAGAGCCGCCGCCGCGCTTGCAGTCCGATCAAGTCCACCTACCGGACCTCCTCCGCCGGGTCCGCCGCCGCCGCCACCACCACCCGGCCCCAACAGACCGAGCGGCCCTACCCCCAGCCCGAGCCCCGCCGGCCCGAATCCGCCAGATCCCATCCCCAAGGCGGCCTGCCCTAGGCCGCCGCCGCCGCCGCCGCCCCCGCCGCTCAATGTCCCCGGGGGGGAAAACCCCAGAGCTCCTGGACCCAATGCTGCCGTACTGAAGGGCAGCTTATGGTTGAGCCGCTGCAGCGCCGTTGCCGCATCGCTCAAGGGACACGGCATGGGCCCCGCTGCGCCAACGCCAATGTCGTCACCGCCGCCGCCGCCGCCGCCGTCGTCTCGTGCGTCGAAATCGCCCTCCCCCGGCTCATCGGACGCGGTGCCGGAATCGACGGAACGGGAGCGGCGGTTGGCGGCGGCTGCACCTCCGCCGCCGCCGCCGCGGCGGGATCGGGTGAAGCCGCCTCCGCCACCTCCGCCGGCGCCACCGCTGGCAGCCGCAGACGCGGTTAAGGTCGCTTGTGCGCGCTTGGTGGCCTAGGGGCAGTGAGGTAGGAAGGGGGGGAGATGCTCGCGTCGGAAAAGCCGTACGCCGTTCAATAGCACTACACTTCCCATGCCTGCCCGAAAGAAGACGCAGTGCTTAACCCCGCCGTTACGACGAAGATCCAGCAGTGCCGTACCAGAACTTTTTTCAAGTAACACAAACGAGGTTGTACACCTATTCCAGCCTTTCCCTGCCATCCCCAACCCAACCCTAAGGCCCCTCCTCTCCCTTCTTCTCCGTCCCATCCGCAGCCTAAGAAAAACATCCACCCCACCTAACCCTAATCCATTACACAGCAGCACCCCCGCCCCCACCACCCCCACCCAACAGGATGCACGGACACGCTCAATACGCACCTTGCCCGCCCAGTTGCCGTTTATTGAGATCTCGGACTTGCCCTGAATGGATGGATACGACACAACAGGGTCAGGGGCCAGGGCCGGTCGGTCAGCGCGGCAGTGGCAACTTGCGACCCTCCCCGCTCTTTCAATTGCAGCCGGGGAAATAGCAGCAGCAGCAGCAGCAGCAGCAGGAGGAGGAGGAGCAGCCGCAGGAGGAGGATGAAAGCTGAGCAGGTTTTCCCGTCCGCCCGCCCGCTCACCTCTTTCTGTCGGGACGAGTCCAGCTCCGTGTGGTCCAACAACCACTGCAGTGAGTAACGCTCCCTCAGAAACCGGTTTCGGAGCGTGTTGGTGTTCACCTGCGCCGTACGAGAGGAGGGATAAGAGGGCGGACATCATCCTTTAATGGATATAGGTGATTATGATGATGGTGGTGGTGGTGGCACTAAGCGTGTAATACGCGCGCATACACATACATACATACATACATACATACATACATACATACATACATACATACATACATACGACACACGTGGGAGCTTTCGCCCCTCGTGGCTCATAACGAGTTCAACCAAATGAAAACACAGACACCAACGGCGCCTCCCCTACCTTCCGCTTCAACGTTGCGTTCCAATGGCTGCGAATCAAGAGGGGGACGGCGACGAGACAAGGGGAGCGTAAGGCAAGGGAAGGCATGTGCAGGGCGGCATGGGCAGGGCGGCATGGGCAGGGCGGCATGGGCAGAGCGGCATGGGCAGGGCGGCATCCCCAACTTCCCCAACGCCGCCTACCCCTGGCGCGGGGGAGGGAGAGGAGGAGGGATGTTGCACTGCGCTGTACGGAGCTACCGCTCCTGCCACTACTAACCATGCACCGCCTGCCATAGCATGGGTCATGCACCCAAGCAGAAACGCTCTGTCGCAAACTGCCAAACTGAGATAGGCGCACGCAGTCGTTACTGCTGCTACTGCTGCTGCCACTGCTGCTGCTACTGCTGCTGCTACTGCTGCTGCTACTGCCTGATGGTGATGTGAAGAAAGACAAAGATGCGACTGGAATAGACCTAGTGGAGAAAGAGGATGGTAAATGCTTTTGGGTCGGCAGCAACAACAGAAGATATTGTCCACCGCAATGGCTCGTGGGCATTTGGGCCGCCGCCAGCGGTGGCCGTCCGGGCATGCTTGCACCCCACGCATCGCACGTCCAGATTCGCCGTGTGCGCCCATCCACGCTTCTTCGTGCAACGAAGCGCTGATATGCTGCGCGGATTATCCGCGGCAGAATTTACGACTTACTTTTTCACGCTGTTGTCCGTCCGGCCGCAGAGCAGCTTGGCGATGGCAGCCCATTTGTTGCCGTGCACATCGTGGGCCTGTGCGTGGCGGAGGATGGGGTAACGCAACCCGGGTGACCATGTAGCGTCGGACGGCAGGACAATACTGGCAAACTAGCGCGCTGATATCCTGGGTAGCTGGCTGAAACGCCGCTGGCGCTTTGTACCAGCAGCGACGCGTTGTGCTCAGGGTGCTGAGGGCATCGGCTGTTGAAATGCCCCGCGCGGGATCATCACAGGGGCTTGACAACTAAAGCGTTTTGATCTCTGTTTTCGCGGTGCTCGTACACATGTCATTTGTCTGTTTATGACGATGTCCAAAGCCTCGTCAATCGAGCGGCTACGAACGGTTGTTAACTGCAAGCGGACTGTGACGGCGGTACGCACCAAGATGATTACGGCGTCCTCCCACTCTGAGAAAGGCTCCTTCTTAACGTCAGGATTTAGCTGGTTGTGCCACCTGCGGGACAGTTCGCCAGTCGTCGCGAGCCATGAACAACCGCTCGTCACGAGTGACCCCATACTGTCAGAGCCAAAAGATAAAATTCCTGCTCACCTAAGGCGACAGCTTTTACCCGACCGTCCCCTTATACCAGCCGCCACGATGCTCCAGTTCTTTGTGCCATAAGTTGTTATCAACTTTGTTAGGAGTGCATCCTCCTCCGGAGTCCAGGCTCCTTTCTTAATGTCATCACCACCCCATTGCTCAGCATCCACGTCCATGTCATCGGACGCCATGTTGACGACCTGCAATACCGATGACGAATCCGCACCGCGCGTTGCCTGACCAGCTTTCTCGCTAACAGAAATTAACTTATCCAAAGCAACTAGCTTTCGTAATCCAAATTACATGCATACCTCTGGCGCCGTCTAGCGCACTCGACCTGGACCTGGCTCCACCGGCAACAGCCGGGCCCCGCCAGGGGGCCTACAACAGGATGGCTTGTGCAATGTGCCGAGAAGTCCTAAGAACAATAGTTTGGATTGCGAAAGTCCCTCTCGAGAATAACGGTCTAGCGGAAGGAGTCAAGGCAGAGTCCATGATATGAGCATGCCCATGACGAGAAAGCATGGGATAGAGGCAGAGACGTTGAAGTTTGCGAGGTTGCGGTTAGCAGGAGGTTTCATAACATAAACGACCTAGTGCGCAAGGGCTGAGGAGTAGTTCAGAGTCAGGTCAAAATATCGGCATGATGCATAATGCACATGTACGCATAATGCTCAGAAGCAGACCACGCTAAGTTACTGGACCGTCGTGCATCGTGCACTGCCCAACTGAACAAATCCATAACATGACAACTCAGGCCCTCCCCAACATTATTTTAAAAAACAGGACGATCGGTTTAACCTAGTTTGGACGCATACCCAATCTAATGCGCGGGCTCGTCCTCGCGTGCAGGACCAACCGTAAGGCACGCATTTGTTCACAGCAGCAGAGCTTAATTTCTCAATTTTATCAGCCCGGTGGTAACTCCTGGGCCATAACCGTCTTCACACATATACCTGTACCAGCCCAGCGAACACTTCTGCATTTCTATCGTATGGCGCTAGCCGTTTCAACAGGATACTCGAACCAACTGCCAGTCAGCCAACCTAGGCCGACGCAAACATACAAAAGTACTGCCATCTCCTGTTTTCCATGTACTAATGTCCTGCAACTTCCCTGCATGCACAGCTGAGCCACTGCTTCAAGACAGTACGCGCTCGCCTAGAGACATATAGAGCAGACGCGCTTGCCTTCAAGCGTAGAGCAGTACATATGCCTTGACGGAGCTGGACGGCCGTGCTGTGTTCCTCACCTCATCGTCACCGCGCCGAGCCTCCTCTTCAGAAGCCGAGTTCAAACCTCCAGCGAAACGCTGCAAGCGAAACCGACATCGTAGCCTACATGGACGTTGCGGCCCTCTCACACGCCTAGCTGATAGATTTTTATGCTTGCGCCGCTGCTTACGACCATTTGCTGTCCTTGCTCTTGCGACTGCTTCCGCTATTACGCTACTGCAATCTGGCTATATTCTCATAATTCACGATGCGTGACATGTTGAGGCGTGTAGCATCAAACACCTACCATAGCCTATTTTGCTGCCGAATACGAGGAATCAGGTGATTTGGTAGTTGGTGCTGACGGACATCGCGTGTAAAAACAGTGAGTAAACGATTTGATTACAGATTGCTATAGTGAACTGTAAGGAAATGCAAAAGCCTACCCGCACACCAAAACACCGATAATGCACGTTGCTGACCCCAGCTTTCACACTTGGCCTCGCCTCGCCTTGCTCAATCCCGCAGTCTTAAAAATCCTTGTATGTCAAGCCATTCGGTTTGACGTACACACTGCTATCCTTGTGTGTTACATTTATGCTTGCTCTGCTGTCAACAGCAATAACTGAACAAATAGAACGTGAAGAAAAACGGCAACGTATCCCCCCACCCACTAAACCCACTAACCCCCAGGCCCCCGCACATTCACATTCTCTTTCCCCCCTCCTCTCTCTCTCTCTCTCCCGCCAAGGTGAAACCCAGGACGTCCTACGACAGCACCCTCTCTTCACCACCGACCGTCCACCGACCGTCCACCGTACGTCTCACAGCTTGTAAGGTCATCGGACATGCTACTGCCTCCCTGCCTGCTACTGCCTACCCGCGTGCCTTCCTGCAAAAGGAAAAAACCCCACACTCGCTACAACCCTCCTATACAAAACCGCCACCACTCCTGGCACCATCCGCCAGACATACATATATACGTACACACATACACGAACCCCCCGTTGCCCTCGACCTACCTCCTCGACCCACCCTCCTCAGGCGGCCGTACCCAAAGCCTTTCCAGCTTCTTAGCCCGGAAACCGCAAACCCCGAACCTCTGAGGACGCGCTGCACCATCAACATCGGCAGCCAAGCCACAGGGTTTAAGGGGCCGTTGGGCCCCTTCTTCACGTTTCCATGGGCACTGGCGCCACCGCCGCGGCCGTCGCCGCCGGGGCAGCCGGTGCCGGTGCCGCCAGTCGGCAGTTGAACAGCGCGTGCTTTATGACTTGCGTGGATAGTCCCTTGATTTGCTCCGACGCCAGCTTGGAGGTGTCGCGACAGATCTTGGCCAGGGCGCTCTCGTCCGCGCCGCTGCCGCCGCCGCCGCCGCCGCCACCGCCGCCAGCTCCCGAACCGCTGGCGCCGCCGCCGCCGCCCTTCTTCTTTTCGGAGGCCGCGGGCGGCACGTACCTGGCGTGGGCGAGAACGGTTTACGGAGTTCGTCAGAGCAGAAATGTTGGGCAGGGTTTTGGACGAGCACTGCCCAGACTGCACTCGTCACTACGCGGCGTGCGACCGTGTGTGGGTTTTGCATGCCAGCTCAGCTTATTTTGATTACCCCTTTTACCACTCGCCAAGAGAACACACACAACACACACACACACACACACACACCTTGCCGGGCGACCCCACCAGCGTGCTTAACACCAGTGCCGAATGACTCATAGACAGACAGACAGACAGTCTGACAATTGTAGTGACCCATATGCCCATGGCATGACATGGGAACAGCGCGCGCGCGCGAGAGAGAGAGAGAGAGGTAGAACCAACCCCACCTGCTGAACCTGCCCCCGTGTGTGAGCCCCGACTCCGCCTGCTCCAGCTTCTCGGCTACATCCGCCACCTGACCCACCGCGAAGTTCCGGTTGGAGATGAGCGGGGAGGCGGACAGCGTGTTCACCCAGTACTTGTTCCACAACAGGTCAAGGAGATGGCTGAAGGGAACGGGGGGACGAAACCCACACGGAGAGCAGAGCGGGAAAAAAAGTAACGAATCAACCAACTAACGAACTAAGAGCTAACGGGCGAGGGGAATTATTACACGACGATGCAAAAACGCCACACGGACGTCCGAAGTACCGAATTGCCGTACGAGTCCAATTACAGGGCGGACGGGGGTGGGGGCCCGGGAGAAATGAGGAGAGCGGGAGATCGCTTGAGGGAGGGCTTTGCACGGGCACATTTCCCGTGCGAATGAAGACGAGGGAGGGGAGAGGGGACCCCTCTGGACAACCTGGAGCGTGTACTAAACCGCTTAGGGAGACGGAGAGACTTGCGGGGCTTGGGGGAGCTTGTTGCTGGCCAGCGCTGTCAACCAGCCACAGCTGACCAGCACGTGGCGTTGGCCAACCTCCCAACTATGCCTGCCTTCTCAACTACCCGCAAACACACACACACACACACGTGGCGCCGCACCAGCTCTCCACCTTACACACCTGTCCGTGGAGGACTTGAAGAAAGTGATGTCCAAGGGATAGTAGCTGCGGGCGTGAACACCGAAGTCCTCAATCTTGTCCAGTGGAATGGTCTGATACTCGCTGGGCCCCTCGTCAGCAGGCTTGTAGTCCTTGGGATACGTCCTGAACAGAGGAGGGGTCGTGCGCGTGCGCGCGTGTGGGTATGTGTCTCTCGGAGGGGTTGCATTTTAAGGGTTAAGGACGAAATTTGTTGTGTCGTGTCGTGTAGTGGATGCGTTGTGAGCCCCAGAATGACCAATCAACCACGAATCCCAGCCCAGGATGTCAGTGGTATGGGGGTTGTGTGCATCGTCCAGGAACGAGGGGGGAGGAGGAGGAGGAAGAAGAAGAAGAAGAGGAAGAACAGGAAGTCTTGTGGTGAGAGGAAGTCAACGTGGTTATTCTGATCCCGCCCGTGTGGCGCGCCGACCCACCGCCGTCTGCCCCGCGCTCACCCCCCACCCCAACCCACCCTCCAGCCCGCCCAACCTCACCTGAACGCGCCAATCTCCACCTTCCCCGCCGCCATCGTCCTCATGGGGTCTACCACCACGGCCAACCAGGGCTCTTGGAACTGCTGGTTCGTCATCTGGGGAGGCGCGGACCGGGGAGGCGGGGAGGGGTGTGTATGTGTGTGTGTGTGTGGGGGGGGAAGACGAACCACAAACGAGTGAAGCTGCTGCCAGGGCAAGAGTGTACCAGACGTAGAACTGACCGAAAGGCGTCCGTGAAGACCGCGACCTCGGGATGTGTGTGCGGAGGGGGAGTATTGGTGGGGTGGGTTGGGGTGGGGCATCTATCTGCTAAAGTCAAAAAATCTGGACTTGTGTTCAGGTGTTGATGGAGGGCTAGGAGTCCTACGTGCGGGGGACGAAGCCAAATGGTGGGGTGGCCTCACGGCCGACGACGTCCCAAGCACTCCGCCACCACCAACTGCCGCCCAGGTGATGCAACCTGGCCCCTCACTGAGCACGGAGCAACTCGCCGGGAGGAGGAAATACCCAGGGCCCGGAGCACAGCCCTTATTATACATACATACATACATACATGCATATATACATACATACATACACACGCACCTGCGTGGTCACGTCAATTCCGGACAGCCAGCACCCATACCCGGGGTGTGAGTGGTACCAACCCACGGCGTTCTCCAAACGATGAACCGACTGGTTTGTTTGGCACAGCAATTCACAAACCCGTCCGTCCGTCAGGGAGTCGGTCGGCCAATCCGTCAGTCAATCCGGTCGCCGGGGTAAGGCGGCACCGGGGGGATACATACACGCGCGGGGGGGGGGGAAGAGTTACACACTGGAGAAGGAAAAGGTTACGTGCGGCTACCAGGACTATTACGGTAAAGACGAATAAGAAGAAGCATAACAACACACACACACAAACACAAAACTGCGAGCAACGACTCTTCGGGTTGTGGGTGGGAGAGCGGTAAGGGGACCATCACCATCATGTAAAAATGGTGATTTTAGTTCATCCCCTAAAGGGGAACTGAAGGGGATAGCCAGGGAATACTCCCCCCAATAGCGGCCCACACGTACGCATATGTATGTATGTATATATGTTGTTACAGGGTGGTATAGCTTCACCAGCGACCCCCTTTCCCGAGGCAGTTCCCTGCTCTCCCCTGCGAGAGGGGCACCCTAATCCGTCACCCCATCCGACTTCAGAATGTATTCGTTGGGAACCTCCGGGAACAGAAGTCAGGCCTTAACTTCTGCCAGCCACCTGCCTGTACATACATGATTTTCCACCGAGACCTTTCCCTTCTAGCCGGCGGCCCCGCCGGGGCTGCTTCTTTGATCGCATTCTCGTCGAAACCATGTTGTCTTTTAACCCACCGAAGAAAACAGACACACACACAGACAGACAAACGCACGCATCCGCACACACACATACACACACACGCGCGCGCGCACCTTATTTGTGTCCAGGAAATCCACCATGTATTCGTACGCCTCCGCCTGTGCGTTTACCCGCGTCTCTGTGCCCTCAACGGGGAGAGCGAAGCTGTCAATCACGATGAAGGTGTCACCCTGGACCTTGCCCTGTAGGATGCCCATAACCTGCAGGGCTTACGAATGGGCGGGTTCGGGCGGGAGAAGTTAGTGCAGTTAATGCAGCGGGTGTAGGGCTCAGGGGCGGAAGAGGCAGACAGGTGGTGAGGCATGTGGTAAGTGCATGCTCAAATAAGGAGAGCACGGACAGCATTTTCGGATTGCGAAACAAAATCGTCGGTTGGTGGGGGAAAATACTGGGGGATGGGGGGGGGGGAGAAGACGTGATGATTGCCGCGTCAACTGTGCCGAATGTCGCCTGAAATCCTTCTACCTTCCTCCCATTCTCTCCCCATCTTCCAACAAACCATTCCCTACCCTGAGGCCAATGCGCGCCGCGCCAAAACAGGCTCCGCGCCCTCATTGCCCCTTTGTCCGACTTCACCGTCTCCTTTACCCCTTCCATTTCCATCGTCACCGCCGTCACCCTAGTCCAATCGCACTCTCCACATCCCCATCGGCTTCTTTTCACCGCCCTTCCTTCACCGTCCTGGTCCTCAACTCCTCCGTCCACTGCTTTATCTTCCTCCCTCCCTCCTTCCCGCCCTCCCTCCTTCCCTCCCTCCTCCTTCCTTCCCTCCCCCGCCCCGAACCCCCCTCCTCACCTCCAGGTTTCCCCCCGACCGGGCATGCATGGCAATCTTGAGAAGTGCGAGGGCCGACATGCGCACGCTGCAGCGGGTGGAGCGGGAGGGAACGAGGAATTGAAACAAGAGGATAGGCGGCCCGACGCCCTATCCTCGCAGCTTCTGTCTAGGGCCCCGGGACGCAAAACAGGAAAGGATTGCACCCGTGGACGCGGCGCAGGGTTGCTGGTAAATTTGGGCCATGGGTAGGTAAAAGAGCGCATGGGATCTATGGCGATGAAGTGCAACGCGGCGCTACTTGGTTGCTCTACAAAGACGACGACGCTGCACGCTACCGCCATCGGAGCTGTGGTGCGTGTCCGTACAGGCGGTGCACTGTAACGCAGTCAAAGACTGTCACCGTCGCCGTTGGAAAGATCTGGGCACCTGACGCACGAAACAGCTGGCTCTGGACCAGAGCAAGGCGGCATTGGGGCCACCCGAAGCGGGCGACACGCAAAGGCCGTGATGCCACGCACCAAGCCTCGTAATTTATACCGATACACCTACTGCTTGTAATGATGGGGGTCCTTTGCCCATGGCCTGCAACTTTGCGCCAGCTGCTGCTCGGCAGCGTCATACTTGAAGAGTGCATCCACATCCTCGGAGGTCGTGGGCTGAATGTTGTTCTCAAGTTCCCACCGAGCCTTAGCTGTGGAAGCTTCGCCCATGGCACGCCGTGATGGAAGACGTTAGGTTCAATCTAACGGTTAAACGCCGACAACTCCTCTACAGGCGTTATGTTTACCGCTTTAACCCTTTGTACAAAAACGCGGTTAGGAAATTGCTATGGTTGTCAAGGGGGCTTTGTCAAGATGGTTACGTACGGCAAGTTTGTGGAAAAGTCCAATAGAGGCAGCTCAATTGATGAACTTCGCTTTAGAGTGAAACCAGTATAGTATGGCTTTTAGGTACGTAATGCAATTGAGTTCAAACTTTCGCCTCGAAGTCGCGTATCGATGGGACAAGGCAATGTAACTCCGTCGACCTACCAAACAAACCCGTGCTAATCATTTTTTGATCACTACACTTGGACCAAAAATGCTATTCAACGCTTGTATGGGCGCCCCACAAGGTGCTCCCACGCTGCCATAGCCAGCGCGCTATTTGCATCCCATGGCGCTGATTATGGATGCTAGCGTTATTCGAGACCTGACAGCGAGGAGTCCTCCTCGCCAGGACTCGGCGTCAGGAGCCCCACCCTTCTCCCATTCCCGGCTCCGCGGCTATGCCGGTCGAATGGAAGGCATGCTAGGTGCGTCGTACCGTCGGCAAGTGCTTTCCTTTTTCACAAGAATAGATAGGCATAAGCTCTTTGCCTCGGCGTCATCGGACGCTGTCGCTAGCGTCACCGTGTGCATCCCTATTGAGCGCCGGCTTGGGTCGTAGTCTCAAGTTGAGGACTTTTAGTCCTGCTGCTACGTAATCCGCGTGCCTTTGCTACCCTCGTGGGGATTGTCGTCCGTCCTTCTACCCTTCCCCCAGCCTCCCTTCCACCACTTCTACCTGGCCCGCACACTGATGAGGCCCTCCGGGCTTCTTTCCTGTCCTTATCCTTCGTTCGTTCCGTACGCCACCGTACCTTATCATACCTCACCGTACAGAGCCCAAGGTTCTTCTGGGCAGCTCCATCGCCCTCACTGCAGCGGGCCTAGCGGACCCACTGCTCCCCCTCGCCGGCGGCAGTAGCAACAGCCACAGCAACAGCCCGCGGACCCTGGCGCCCGTGCAACCGCCAACCCACGCAATCCCACACACTGAACAGCAGCAGCTAGCCGGGGCCGCGGGTGCAGCCGGGGCCTTACGGAGGCATAGCGGCGGGGATGCTGACGGCGGGGAGCTACAGCCGCAATCGCCACAGGCGTCACAGCAGCAGCAGCAGCTTGGGGGGGGCCATCACGCGCGTTTCGCGCCGGCGCCGTCGGCGGTTTACTCCGCGCCTGGGTCGACGGGGAGTAGCTCCATTGGCGGAGGTGGAGGCGGAGGCTTGCACCCGTCATCGCGATTCGTCCCGCCAGGGCAGCTGTCGCCGGTGCCTGCAGCAGCAGCGTCGCCGCTGCCAGCAACGGCGGCGGCGTCATCTGCCGCCGCCGCCGCCAACCCTGACGACCTGGCGGCGGCACTGTCCCAGATTCAGGCACTCAAAGCGGAGATCGCGGGTGTGGAGACCGTGCTAGGCTATCTGAAGGGCTCCGAAATCGCCACCACGACGATGGGGCGTAAGGCCCATAAATTGCCCTCCCAGGAGCAGCTCCGCGCAAGGGCCGAAGCGCTAACAGCCAGTCGAGCGTCGGCGCGCTTCGCCGGCGCCGCCGCCGCCAGCACTATCACGGCGACCTCCACCGATTCGTTGTTGTTGACATCACCGCCGCCACGAGGCGGCATTCATGCCGGCGGTGGCGGCGGCGGCGGCGGCAGCGCTGCCGGCACACCGGCACGGGCGCGGTCCGCCGGCGACGCGCCCGCTAAGGGGCCCAGCGGTACGACAGCGGTGTTTGATACGCTGGCGGCGGAGACGAAGCTGGGTCGTACATGGCGGGTACCGCGGGGGCCACAGCCCATGGGTCGGGGGGAGGCTGTCGTCTTGGAGGCGGCGTTGGACGAGGCGCTGCCGGCGGGGGCCATTACAGCAAAGTACGGCAGCGGCGCCACCGTGGAACTGTCGTTCTGGAGCGGCGGCGATGTACGGCAGGACTTTGAGATGCTAGAAATGGTGCAGCGGGAGGTGGCACGGCAGGTACGTCGGATCCTGGGGGGAGGGACATGGGGTTTCGGAGGAACGCGGGAAGGGGAGGGTTCAAGGAAAGTGTATTGCCGCGGTTTGTGTGTGTGTATGTGTGTGTGCGTGTGTGTGCGTGTGTATGTATGTGTGGGTGGGTGGGTGTGCGTGCGCGTGTGTGTGTGTGCGTCTGTATGTATGTGTGTGTGCGTCTGTATGTATGTGTGGGTGTGTGCGTCTGTATGTATGTGTGTGTGCGTGTGTGTGCGTGCGCGTGTGTGTGTGCGTGTGTATGTATGTGTGTGTGCGTGTGTGTGTGCGTGTGTGTGTGCGTGCGCGTGTGTGTGCGCGTGTGTGTGTGCGTGCGCGTGCGCGTGTGTGTGTGCGTGTGTGTGTGTGTGTGTGTGCGTGTGTGTGTGTGCGTGTGTGTGTGCGTGCGCGTGTGTGTGTGCGTGTGCGTGTGTGTGTGTGTGTGTGCGTGCGCGTGTGTGTGTGTGCGTGTGCGTGCGCGTGTGTGTGCGTGTGTATGTATGTGTGTGTGCGTGTGTGTGTGTGTGCGTGTGTGTGTGCGTGCGCGTGTGTTTGTGTGTGTGTGTGTGCGTGTGTATGCCATCGGCGGGGCTCAGATGCGGTCGATCAGCCCTTGAGGTTTTCTTGTTGCATGTTGTCGGCCGGCACGTGAGACCAGTCGGGCAGTCGCTTGTGCTCGACGACAGCCACGCCATGATGCCGAGATGCCGAGTGAGGGCCCCATGTCCCAGATGCGGTGTACGGCGCACGTGTTTTGGTAGGCACGTGATTGCTGCACTGTGTATTAGCGACGCGTAGGGACGAAGGTCATGCAAAAAAGGAGGGGGCCGTCCTCCTCCTCTCCTCCTCCCTTTCTCCTCTCCTCTACGCCCCTCACACACACACGAAACACGAAACACGTCTCCACTCCTTTCCCTACCAGAACCCCAAGACGGGGCCCCCCCCCGCGACCCTTTGTCGCGTACCCCCACAACCCCTTCCCGCCTCCGTCCCCCAACCCGTCTTTGGTATCTGCTCCATTCGCCATTCGCCTTACCCCTTCCCAACTCCGTCTCCCCAATGTCGCGACCCCTAGGTCAGCGCGTCATGTGTGGAGCGGGGCCGTATCGTTGAGAAGCTGGCGGATCGGTTCTCGGAGGTGCGGGGGAAAGGCGGATGAGGGGGGCCCATGGTCCATGCCGTGCCGTGCCGTGTCGTGCCATACACCGTGTCATGCCGTGTCACACACACATACACACACACACACGCACGCGCACTCCTCACAGGCGGTGCAATATTTTTTCTTTCCCATTCTACCCCAACCCCCCATTGGTGAGTCGGATGCCCCGGCCATTAATTTTGTGTTGTTTGCACTTCACATCGCCCCCGTCGCCATTATCATGCGATTCGGGGCCTGTCCCCCCACGTATACACACATACGCATACAGACACACACACACATATTTGAATTGAATTTGAATCAATTTTAAAAATTCAAAAACACACATATGATTCCACCCTCCCCACCCCACGCGCCCTTCCCCCCCTCCTCATTCACGCAGATTTTCGTGGCGGTGGTAGCCGCTGCCAGGACGGCTGCGGAGGCGCAACGAAGGCTGACAGGGGAGCTGACGACCATACGGGCCAGAGCAGGGGAACAGGTACGTGCGTGTATGTGTATGTGTATGTGTATGTGCCTCGTACACTGTTTTCCCCAACCCCAATTTTTGCATATCTACCGTATGCACCCAAATCCCACATACGACTGCTCCCCTCGCCCCATACACACACGCACACATTCCCCCGCCCCTGCTCCCGGGGATGAACCCCTTGCTCACCGCAACCTGCCCCCCCACCCTCTTCTCCTCACCGCCACACACCCCAAAACCCCTCTCCCGACCCCTTTCCCCCCCCTTCCACACACTCACACTCACACGCACTCCCCCCCCCATGTTGCCGTTGTGATTTGGATGTCGGCAGTTGTTCCTTGGAAATATTTACACCGTCACCATAAGATTTTACATCTTGCACACACTCCCCCAACGACTCAGCCCCTTCACCCCCCCCACCCCCCCTTGACCCCCGGCCCGCCCCGCCCCCTGACCCCATCTTCCCCGTAGGCCGCCGAGATTGCCACTCTTCGCTCGGGCCTAGCTGCCCGCGGTGCGGAAGCTGAAGACCTCCGGGAGCAGCTTCTGGAGGCCACCACCGCACACGAGCATTACGTGTGGGACACGGAACAGGAGCTGGAGCAACTCCAAGGGCAGGCGGATGTGAGAACGGGGCCGGGGAGCTGGGGGGGCTTATGCGGGGAGGGGGGGTCAAGGGGGTT